AAGAAGGTAATTGAACAAGCAATATCACTAAAACATCTGCAAATCAACCAATAAATTATAAATTTTTGGCAGTTGATCGTAAAATTATATTACGTTTTATATTCTTTTATTCGTGTACAATTTTATTACAATTTCTCTTTAATTATTACTAAATTATTTGTTAACTATTTTAATTAAATTACTCTTTGACTAATATAATTTTATTAAATTTTTATTAAACTAATTTAAAAAAGTTACTATTTAAATAATTGTTTTTAAAACTGTTTTTCATTCAATTGTATATTTTATATTACTACTACTCTATCATAATGCATTATTAATCTCTTTTTATCTGTATAGGGGCTCAAGCACAAAAAGAAAAATAAAAAATAAGAAATTAAATATAGAAAGAGTTTATAGTCGCATCTTTTTTCAACACTGTCTTTTCCCTTTTTTCAAGACACGGAATTCTTTCTATATTTAATTCGTTGTTCGTTATTCCTCTCATTGTGCATGACCCCTAAAGGTATATTTGAAGAATGAATGCTGCTCTACTTCGACGTTATAATTTCATGAAAAAAGGAAGGGAGGTTTGAGCACCAGTAAAAAAAGAACAAGAACAAATGACAAGTAAGAAAAAGCTTTGAGAATTCATCGCGGTTATCAATGCATAGTTTAACGTAGGTTATATCGATCGTTAATAATTAATAGGATACACAGCCATCAAACGTTTCAGCTCCGCCATTCTAGAAGTATCTGTAAAGTCAATAGCTATAGCAAGATTAAAATTTCAGAGAAAATTTAAATATCTATAACTTAAGTATCATAAAATTATAACCTATGCCGATATTAAATAAAGATATAATTATTTATTCAATATTTGACAATTCTATCATGTATTTTCTTTACTTTACCTCTAAAAAAAATTATTGCATCTAAAGATATATTACCGTAATATATTTAAGTTTTGTTACTGTGTATATACGTGTTCCATATCGACTTATAAATATATTATTTCACGAGGTATGCTGTATTGGGGGATACGAGGGATACGTGAAATGGTTAATAAAATTACCAGTTGCGAAGGGTAGAATTATGGGAACACATGCATGTGGATATCAACATCTAAGAAATTCGATCCGCTACAGCAAGGCTATAGACTGTCGACATTTGCCAGTCAGTCTAAAGATTTTGGTGCTTGCTATACTTATCAGTTGTGATTGCTTAAAGTATTTTTTATTATAATAATAATTTGATTTATTTCTTTACTGCAAATATCACAATGTTTACTTACAATTATTAAATTAATTAGGAAGCTTATATGGGTAGAAATGCAATATTTTTATTATTTACAAATAACATTTGTAAATAATAGAAAATAAAGGAATAAATCTATTAAATAATTATGATATAAATATAGAAGCATTCTTTAATTGACAAAATTGCAAATTACTTGAAAGATACGTTTAATTAATAATATTGTACGTTACACAAAATTTGCAGGAAATAATTACATGTATTGTGTGCTTCGCAGGTGATATAAAAGAAGATAATATTTTAAAAAATGCGCATACTTAACTTGCTTTTTATACTTTTAACGATATGTGGATGTTGGCGACCAAATTCTTGGTCATCACTGTATAAACGTGTAGCGTACTATGTGTATACAAGCATAATAGTTTTCATAATAAATACCTTTATACTATCGCTATTAGTAGAAATGACTCTAATAATGGACAATACCGATGAGTTTTGCGATAATTTCTTTTTACTAATAGACCTGTTAAATACTTTCTTTAAAGCATTCATTTTGCTTATAAATCGCAAAAACATTAGTATGCTAATCGATATACTGACAAAGAAACCATGTGAACCGTCGACATCGGCTGAAATAAATATTGTCTATAAATTCGATAAAAGTATAGAGTAAGTATTAACAAGCATCAATAACATCATAATATACCGATAATTACTTAATATTAATGAAACTATTAAAATTTATTTTGTGTTATTTTTCACATTTGTACGTAAATTTTTCTTTTTTTTATTTAAATTTATTTACACATTTACACTTGATATAATTAATGTATCGAGAATAGAAATGTGCATTAGAACACACCTAAAAATTATTAAAAATATATTGTTTTTTTTATTTAACCCATAAAGTTCCCGAAGTCTTTTCTGTTTTGTTATTATGTATCTTGGCTTTTAATAAAAAATTTTAGAATGTATTGATATTTAGGCGTAAAATGAGTTGCTCTTTCCGAAAGCGGTGAGAGAATGGAATATCTGAAAGAAAAGATTTAAAAAGTTGAAGGGGTGAAAGTAAAAAAAATAAGTGGTCAAGTCTTTCTACTGACAAATATTCAATTATAATAACTAATTTCATCTGCTTCTTGAGTAAAATAAATCTATATGATTATTATTTGAGTGACCTATAATACCTATAAATTTTACTTAAAGCGATATACAAAATTATTTATTAGTTAAATATTTTTTAGTAAATAGGCGACAATATAAAAGGTTAAAGCTCTCGCAACAATAAACAATTACAATATAGGCAAATGAGAGCCAAAACGCAGGTAGCAAGGCGACAAAATTAACTGTATTTAAACACTTATATAAAGAACGATCAAACGTTTCGAGTCTTCGCTTTGGACCATCCTCAGTGATGAAATATAAAAAAAATTACATGCAATCAAGTCGTCGTCAAACAATAAAAGATCGCCATTCCAGCCATGCCGTCAATTCCGCAGAGTCCGCATTGCCATAAATCCTTCGATCGAGTACGTCGTCTCAATTCGTTAAACAGCGGAACGATGCAATTTCCCGGGGCGACTGTTGCCTTAATTAAACACAGAACTGTTACAAAATCTGACCAATCAATCGGGAAACAGAAGACAAGCAGTATTACCTGACAAGTCACCACGTGGAAATTAACGGACATCGTCATCGAAACGTAACTTATTATCATTGTGTTTACTGTAAAATGTATAGGTCGCGTCGTTATTGCGGGAGAGCGAAACTAATACTGTTCACGGGAGACACGACGTGTCGAGCACAACAAATAGGCATTAAATATATAACCCCGAGAGGCGAAGTTACATATGCGAAATTCTCTCGATGATCGGTAAATAAACGCTGCTCAACTTCGCCGTGTCCTCCTGCAGATTAATGCCATTGGCTTGGCGCTTAATGTGAACCATCTCCAAGACGCTCCTTCTGGTATAAGATCTCTCTCTGTCCAAAATCGTGACATTATCCCAATCGAACTCATGTCCTTCTAAGCGGTGCTGGGAAACGACCGACAAATTTTCCGCCCTTCCGCTAAACTGATTACGGTGTTTTTTAACCCGCGTGCCAGACTGTCTCTTCGTTTGGCCAACATAAGAGGCGTCGCAATCACGTCAGTTAATTTTGTAAACCACCCCACTCTGTGCAAAATCATGCAATACATCCTTGTGTGGCTTAACAAACCGATTTAGCTTATTTATACCGACGAATGCTGTGCGGCAGCTAAACTTTTTTAACGTGTTGCTAAGGGCGTTAGAAATTTTGTCAATATAAGGAATGACAAAAAACTGATCGAATTCCCCATTCTTAGAAGTCGAAATACGCGAATCCGTTACCCCCGTCCTCCCCTGTTCGTCGACCAATTTGAGCAACCTTGTCTTTACGTGCTTAAAAATGAAATCCCGAGGATATCCGTTGACCAAAAGGATATTGACAAGTTTACTCAAATTTTCTTGGTGATATCTCGGGTGAGACAATAAAAACGCCCTATCAACCAAGCCAATAATCGTGCCTATTTTTTGACAGGTCGGGTGGTGGGAGAAAAAGCTTAAATATCGCTCCGAAAAAGTTGGTTTGTGATACCAATTGAATTCAATTGGTATCACATTCCATTGTTGACCCTTACCGTGGTATCAAAGAAATTAATCGCCCGATTACGTCCAACTTCAACCGTAAATTGTAATCTCTTATGAAAGGAATTAAATATTTCCAAAACTGTCTTGACAAGTGAGAGCGGGATGGACATCAAAACGTCGTCCACGTATCTGCGATAAATCGGTATAAAAATGGGAAGGCGTTCTAATGCCTTCCTCTCCAAATCTTGCAGTACTAAATCAGCCACCACAGGAGACGGAGAGGATCCCATCGGCGAACCAAACGTTTATCTATAAACTACCCCATCAAAAACAAAATACGTTGAATCCAGTACAAACTGGATAGCTCTCAAAAATTCTTCCTGTGGTATCGTAGTGTTAGCTGTGATGTAAGGCTACCTATCCTTAATACCAGTCAGAACTAACTCCGTAGGAACGTTTGTGAACAGCGAGACCACATCAAGGGAAATCAGCTCGAAATGGTCTTCCAATCGTGTACCCGCCAGGCTCCTAATTAGCTCGAAGCTATTTTCCACGCGACTGTTAGCTTTAGGCACGCTCCCCTGTATTATATCTTGTAAGAACTTAGCTAATGGTTGTAGCGGACTGTTAACGATACTATGATCCTGAGCGGACAGTTGGCTATGTGAATCTTCGGAAGACCATATGCTCATGGGATAACGTCGTCAGTGCAATTGAGGAAATTATACTGTCTCTGTGTGATAAATTTCTTTCCTAGCCACGCTTTAAGGAGAACCTTGAGATCTGTAGTTATTTTACCTGTAGGGTCCTTATTTAACACTAAATACGTATTCTCATCTCCGAGCATCTCTTTCATCTTCCCCATGTAAGTGCCCCTGTCCAAAACTACAGTGGGGTTACCCTTGTCAGCCTTAGTGACTAATATATACGTTAACATTATTTTTAAGAAATTCCTTTGTCTCACGGAGCGCTTGAATTAATGGACGATCGTGGAGCTGGATCGGCATATTTCCGAAAACTACTTTCTTGATGGTTTGTATACAGTGATTGTGAACGCCTTGACGAAAGTTGGGGGGAAAACAATTCACACTCGACTCGACGTACTTAATAAATTCACACGCTATTTTTCCCCCGCTTCTAACCTGTTGCATGGAAAAATTTGGACCTAATTGTAATAGTCCTTGCACCGCGGCTGGCAATGTGACGGACGAGAGAGATTGGTTAACCATTAAAGCGAAGGACCGAAACGTTTGATCGTTCTTTATATAAGTGTTTAAATCCAGTTAATTTTGTCGCCTTGCTACCGGCGTTTTGGCTCTCATTTGCCTAAATTGTAATTGTTAAATAGGCGACGTTACTTACTTATTTATATTTAATTTAAATCTTTGTATTCTTTTTGGATTTCCCACTTTAATGCCGACTTCATTTTTGGAATGAGCAACTCCTTTATTTTACTATATAAAATACGGTCTAAAAATTTTTATTACAACCGGAGTTAAGGATTTAAAAGGGTAAAAAGTAATTATTATAAATAAATAAATAAATAGGTAGATAAATAAAGATAAGAATAAAAAATTTACATAAAATCTAAGAATTAAGATTATTATATATGTATTTGAGGAACATTTTATAATTATTTTAGAAATACTACTTGGTACTACGTATATCTGGAGGTGATAGCATATTTATGGATGGTGCTATCTCTTTTAATCAATAACTTCAGAAATAGAATATTACCGTACAGAGCATGGTTCCCATTTGATTATTCGTCAACGTTTCGGTTCTCTCTGATGTTCACTTATCAACTGATAGGTATAGCTGCGGCAAACATCATTAATATTGCTTGCGATTCTCTCATCTGGGGATTATTAGTCCATATTTGCTGTCAAATTGAGATCGTAACTCATCGCTTGAGAAGAATTATATCTCATTCAAACGTTCTTCGCGATTGTGTGCATCATCATTATGATATATATAGGTTAAGTTTTACAATTTTGTCAATCTTATAAATCTTTACAATAGTTTTTAAATTAATATACATGTATTGTTTACATCTGAATATAATATCGTTCTCATCAAGTATATATTTTATTAAAATATATGTTATTACACAAACAAAATTATTAAATTTTAGGCTTGCGTTTATCGTAAATGAAAGGTTTAGACTGACTATTGCTATGCAATTTATAACAACTACATCGGTGGTATGCTTTTGCTTTTATCAATTAAGTATAGCAACAACGAAAGCCAGACATATTGAAATTATATCATATGTATCTGTTACTTTGATTGAAATCTTCTGCTATAGTTGGTATGGGAACGAATTAAAAACAAAGGTATGGTAATAGATATTTAGTACTAGGAGTGATGGGTATTTATGCTTTTAATTAAATGCTGATGTTATTCTGTATAAATTTTGTTGCAAAATTCTAACAGTCTGTTATCAAAACATCTTAATACCTACGAGGGAGGGAGTCCCGTTTACCTACATTCCCAATTGCCAATAGCTTTGTTTGCTTACAACATTTGCCGACAGCTTCGTTTGCCAACATTCCCGATTGCTTACAGAGCGATTGTCAATATAAGCATTATATTGCGCACATGTAATAATTAAAAATACGAATGTGCGTTTGCGCACATGGTCTTATGCACAAACACATTGCACATGCCGATTGCGCACATGACATTATTGCGTACACAATACACAAAAGTTGGAAATCCGTGTATGTGCGCAATAACGTTATGTGTGCAATGTGTATGTACGAAATAAAGTCATGTGTGCAAAGAGTATGTGCATGCGCAATATAAGCGTGTGTGCAAAGTGTTAATATATAATAATATTCTTATTTCATGTGTGCAATGTGTATGTGTGCAATAAAGTCATGTATGCAATGTGTTTGTGCGTAATAAGGTCATGTGCGCAAACTTATGTTCGTATTTTTAATTATTACATGTGCGCAATAATGCTCGTAGACAATCGCAAATCGCTCTGTAGGCAATCGGAAATGTCGGCAAACAAAGCTGTCGACAAAATGTTGTGGGCAAACAAAGCTGTTGGAAATCGGGAATGTAGGCAAACGGAGCTCCCCCTTCTCTACAAGGTATCAGTAACATAAATATATTTTGTTTCTTACACAAATGCTATCTATATGGATACGTTGCACACATTTTAATAGAGTCAACAAATGAGTGACAATATTTACGAAATGGAGTGGCTGACGTTGGACAAAAATAATAAAAAGTCTTTAATGATAATAATGAGGCGAACAATTGTACCTATTCAGATTACTTGTGCTTACATTGTTCCCATGAATCTTAATACATTTATGGGTGTTAGTATAAATATTATGAAAGCTAATTTCGTCAAATTTTAGTTTTAGATATATTTAAATATGTTCTACGTATTTAAAGAATGATTTATTATATATTGATTTATTGCATTATTAAAATATTTTTACAAATTCAAACAAATTTTATGAATTCAATTTTAATTATTTAATAAATTAAAATCATGTATATGCTGTTTATTAAATAAATTCGAAAAATACTGAAAATTTGGAATTATTATTTGAAATAATATATAAACAAATTTCAGCACTATATGTTTTTAATGTTAAAATTTAATGTATTTAATATTAATATTGACGAAGTCAGCTGTATTAATAACTGAACAAATTTAGATAAAGATTAAGATTGTCTGTTTACTAATTCTAGATACTTAAAACGTCTTATTCTTTTTACAACTTACTTATACAAAATGTGTAAGTGTGATTTTATGAGAGACTGATGGACTTAAAGCACTACTCAGATATTAATATTAAATCTGAGAAAAGGCAAGAAAGGAAGAAAGAAGATAGTATATTTGCAATTAGTAGTAACAATTAGCATTATAGTTATTGTCACCTAACACACTACATTTAATGTATCACCTTATTAAAGTAGAAAAATAGAAAAGAATAATTAAAAAGTGTTGTTTATTTTATTGTATATTTTTCTTATATTTTTACATTTATTAACATCTATTTTTATATTTGTATTTTACATTTTATACTTTCTTGCTTATCCTGCCTTCTATGATACACTTTGTAATATAATTTTCACATGTTCTGTTTGTAAGGTGAGAATCAGAATCAGAAATTACAGTGCCTAAAATCAATACGGAGACAGAATCATATACGGCAACCTTTCAGTAACACGCAGAATAATTATGAAAAAATAAAATATTTTTAACTAAAGGGAAATAATATTATAATTGCATTATCTTTATTAAAATTTATAAAAATGATAAAATTGTCGACAGAGAGTATTCGTATTCTTTCGTTTCTTATATGCCACTTCTAGTATATTTCAAAAATGCTAAAATTTTGGAAATATAATGGTAAATAAAATTTTTTGCAAGAGATATTCTTCATGAATGCATAATGCAACATAATCGTGTTTTTGAATTTGTATTTATAATACAGTTAATGTCATAAAAATATTAATATTGTTATGTTAATAAAGATGTCAGCGCAGTCATTTTGACTTGCAGATATTAAAATGACAAAATGTGTTTAATTGCAGCTTTTTGCTATCGCTGTCAATAAAAAGTTCAGGTTTACTATTGCTATTCAATTTATGGTAAGTATGTACAATGATGGTATGTTTCTATTCATATCAGTTAATTAAGTCGACCACACAAGGAATGAAAAGTACGTTCACCTGGCGTTATGGAAGTATGTATTATAGCATATGCTGCATGATGAGTGACGCAAATAATTTTTTATTATTGATATATAAATGAGATAAAACTGAAGGTACGCAATCTTCAAAATAATGAATTATGAATAAATTATTATTAAATAAAATAAATAAATAATAATAATTAATTATGAAATTAAAGCCTTGTTTATACATATAATTGATGGCTATATTTTAATATTATTTTGCAACAGATATATAGCCGGCAACTTGTGAGTAACATTTTCGAAATTGAATGGCGTAAGTTTGATCGAAATGTTAAAAAAGATTTTTTCCTAACGCGAGCGTGAAATGGGCCGCTTTTCGCGCTTGTTTTGAGTGAGCAAAACGATCCATTTCTCCACTAGTTGAAAAATGGAGCCATTTCTCAACTAGTGGAGAAATGAAATTGTAAAACAAGCGCGAAAAGCGGCCTGTTTCACGCTCTTGTTAGAAAAAATAGTATAAACAACTCGTGGGAAGAGTGGTCGAGCCCAAATGAGTGTGATGGTCGCACTCGCTTCGCTCGTGCGACCAACTTCACACTCATTCAGAATCGACCACTTTTCCCACTAGTTGTACAATATACTAATTATTGATTATTAAACGTAGTACAATGCTCAATGAATTCACTAGTGCTTATATTATTTCTATTGAATCTTGATTCTTTTGCGGGTGTTAGTATATATAAAATGTTTGTTTTATCACAGGATTAAATAAATCTGATTGAATTTGCAATCAATAACAATATGTATAAATATCCAAATAAGGTAACATAAATCATTTTAGTTGTTTAGTTTTAGTTATTCATGTACGTTAGGGATTCAATTTTATCGTCGCTACAGCGGACTGCGCTATAGAGTAACAATACAGTAACAAAGGAAAATAGATTCCAACTGTTAAATCATTTTAAACTATTCTTAATTAAATTATTCTTTGACTACTAATTTATTTAAAATTTCTATTAAATTTTAATATAAAAACTTATTGTGGGGATGCGTGTGTCGATGTCGATCAGAGATGATAGCGATGGAGAGGAGTGTATGATTAAAGGTAGCGATGGTATGTGGAGGATGCGTCCCCAAAAATACCATGTGACTCTTCGGCGAGTCGCGATGGACACTCCACTATATGCTCGTCTAACTCTTGTCCGATGAGGCGTCGGTGAGAGTGTCGATCGGGACAATGAATGTTGCTGTCGAATTTGTTTATATATTTGGTCGGCGCGTTCGAGCGCTCGCGAGAAAACGTGGCTGAATATGTTGCTGTCTTGGTAGGGGCGCACGCGCGGCCGCCACACTTATTATTTTTAAATAAACGTTTATAAAAATGTTTTTTATTCAAGTTTACATATTTCATTATTTCTACATGTTATTATATTAAAATCAATTATCAATCTTTTTTATATGAAAAGCCATATTTGAAGAATAAATGCTGCGCGATTTTGTCGTTATAATTTAATGGAAAAGAAGGAAGAATTGATCACTACAAACATTCTAGAAGAAGAACAAGTGACAAGTAAAAGAAAGCTTTAAAAATTCAACGTGGTTGACAATGCGTTAACGTAAGTTATACCGATCGTTAATAATTAATAGGATACACAATCATAAATCGAACGTTTCAGCTCCGTTATTCTAGAAGTATCTGTAAAGTCAATGGTTATAGAAAGATTCAAATTCAGAGAAAACTGAAATATCTATAGCTTAAGTATCATAAAATTGTAACCTATAGGTACCGATATTAAATAAAGATATAATTTTTTATTCAATATTTGAGAATTCTATTTCGTATTTTCTTCACTCTGCCTCTGAAAAACATTATTGCATCCAAAGATATATTACCGTAAGGTATGCAAATTTTGTTACTGTGTATATACGTGTTGCATATCGCCTCATAAATATATTATTTCACGAGGTATAACATATTGTGAGGGATACGTTATAAGGGATACGTTATGAATAATGAAATTACCAGTTGCGAAGGGTGGAAATATATGAACACACATATGGATGTATCTTATACATACTAAGAAATTCGATCCGACAGCAAAGCTATAGACTGTCGACATTTGCCAGTCAGTCTAAAGATTTTGGTGCTTGCTATACATATTCGTTGTGATCGCTTAAAAAGTATTCTTTTTTTATAATAATAATTTGATATTTCTTTACGGCAAATATATCACAACGTTTACTTATAATTATTAGATTAATTAGAAAGCTTATATCGTTAGAAATGCAATATTTATATTATTTACAAAAAACATTCTTTAATTGACAAAGTTGCAAATTATTTTAAAGATACGTTTAATTAATAATGCTGTACGTTGCACTAAATTTTTGCAGAAAACATTTACATGTATTGTGTGCTTCGCAGGTAATATAAAAAAAATATAATTTTTTAAAAAATGCGCATACTTAAGTTGACTTTTATACTTTTAACGATGGCTGGATGTTGGCGACCAGATTCTTGGTCATCACTGCATAAACGCGTAGCGTACTACGTGTATACAAGCATAACAGTTTTCTTAGTAAATACCTTTACGCTATCGCTATTAATAGACCTCACCCTAATAACGGACAATGCCGACGATTTTTGCGATAGTTTCTTATTTATAATGGACATGTTAAATGCTTGCTTTAAAGTATTCATTTTGCTCATAAATCGCAAAAACATTATTATGATAATCGACATACTGATGAAGAAACCATGTAAACCGTCGACATCGACTGAAATAAACATTCTCTATAAATTTGATAAAATCATAGAGTAAGTATAGAGTGTTAACAAATCATCAATAATATCATAATATATTTTATTATTGTTTAATATTAATAAAATTATTGAAATTTACATTGTGTTACTTTTCGTATCTAGATCTTTTACGTAATATTTCTTTTTCTCTTTAAATGTTCAAATTCATAAATCATAAAATTAATGTACGGTAAATAGAAACATGCAATAGAGTTATTAAAAATATATTGTTTTTTTTTAATTAACCCATAAAGTTCTCCAAGACTATTCCGTTTTGTTACCATGTATCTTCAGTTTTAATAAAAATTTTTGGAACGCATTGGTATTGAGGCGTAAAGTGAGTTGCTCTTTTCGAACATCTGGTTGGCGATGTAGTGTGGATTACTTGGAAAAGAAGATACAAAAGTTGAAAGTGGAGATAAAAGAGTAAGTGATCTCTACCTCTTACTGACAAATATTCAACTAATAACTAATTTCCTCTACCTTTTTGAGTAGACGAAATCTATATGATTATTATTGACCTATAATATAAATTCTACTTAAAACGATAGACAAAATTATTTATTAATTAAATATCTTTCAGTAAATAGGTGGAGTTATTTACTTATTTACTTCTAATTTCAATCCTTATACTTTTTCTGGATCTCCCTTTAATGCCAACAATACATTTTTGGAAAAAAAATTACCTTTATATGTATGTACCAAATGCGGTCTAAACATTTTTATTGCATACGAAGTTACAAGAATTTAAGAGCGTAAAGAATAAATAAATAAATAGATAAATATAAAAATAAAAAAATTATATACAATTTATGAAGATAATGTATGTATTTGAGGAACATTTTATAATTATTTTAGAATTAATACTTGGCGCTTTGTATATTTGGCAGCGGTAACGTTATCATTTTTCGTGTTATCTTCTTTATCAAGCTTGAAAAATGGAAAATTGACATACAGAGCATGGTTGCCATTTGATTATTCATCAACGTTACTGTTCTATCTGGCATTCATTCATCAAATGATAGGTATGACTGTCGCAACAGTCGCTAGTATTGGTTGTGATACTTTCATCTGGGGAATATTAGTCCATATTTGCTGTCAAATTGAGATCTTAACTTATCGTTTGAGAAGATTTATATCTTATTCAAACGTTCTTCGCGATTGCGTGCGTCATCATTATGATATATTCAGGTTAAGTTTTACAATTTTGCCAATTTAACAAAATTTACTCAATAATTTTTAAATTATTATCGTGTACATCTGAATATCGTTCTTCCAGTATATTTTATTCAAATATGTTATTATACGAACAATTTGTTAAATTCTAGACTTGCGTTTATTGTAAATGAAAAGTTTAGACTGACTATTGCTATCCAATTTATATTAACTACATTGGTGCAATGCTTCTGTCTTTATCAAATAAGTATAGCAACAACGAAAGCCAAACATATTGAAATGATATTATATATGGCTTGTATTTTAATTCAAAACTTCTTCTATTGTTGGTATGGAAACGAATTAAAGATAAAGGTATGGTAGATATTTAGTTGGTATGGTAGGTATAGATGTTCTCAATTAAATGCTGAAATTCTAATAGTATTAAATAATTTTAACATCTACGAGGTATCAGTAATATAAATATATTTTGTTTCTAACACACATGCTATCTATGGATACATTTTACATATTTCAGTAGAGTCACCAAATGATTGACCATATTTTCGAAACGGAGTGGCTGACATTGGACAAAAATAGAAAAAAGTCTTTAATGATAATAATGAGGCGAACAACTGTACCTATTCAGATTACTTGTGCTCGTATTGTTCCCGTGAATCTCGAAACCTTTATGGGTGTTAGTATAAATGTTATAAACCTAATTTCGCCAAATTTTAATTTTAGATATATTTAAATATGTTCTATGCATTTAAGGAATAATTTATAATATATTGATTTATTATATTATTAAAATATTTTAACAAAAATATATATTATCCATTGAATTTTAATTATTTAATAAATTAAAATTGTTCACGTTATTTTTGAAATAAATTTGGAAAATATTGGGAATTTGGAATCATTATTTTGAATAATATAAACAAATTCAGCACTATATGTATTTAATGTTAAAATTTAATGTATCTAATATTATTGTTGACAAAATTAGCTGCGAATTTATTAATTACTGAACCTATTTAGATAACCATGAAAATTATTTGTTTACTAATTGTAGATACTTAAAATGTCTTATTCCACTTACAACTTACTTACACAAAATATGCAAGTGTGATTCTATGAGAAGACTGATGGACTTAATGTACTACTCATATCATAATATTAAATCTGAGAAGAGAAAAGAAAAGAAGAAAGAAGATAGTATATTTGCAATTAGTCATAATAATCAGCATTAGTTAACTTTCATCTAACATAGTATTTAACATATCACGTTATTAAAATAATATAAAAAGATAATCGAAAAGTATTGTTTATTCCATTGCATATTTTTCTTATGTTTTTACATTTGTTATTAGCTGTCTTATATTTGTATTTTACATTTTATACTTTCTTGCTTATCCTGTCTTCTATGACACGTAAATAGAATATAATTTTAACATGTTTTGTTTGTATCGTGGGAATCAGAAATTACAATGCCTAAAATCAATACAAAGATAGAATCTCAAAATTTACTTTTGCAAATAGAGAACTTGGGGCAAGACAGAATATTTCATGTTTAACCATGTGAAATGACCACTAAGCACTAAGTATAAAAAAAACAATCCACTTTTTCAACACAAATCCTGTTATTGCATCCTTCTTTACATGTAAAGATGGTTGAAACTAACAAACATGTATATGAATAATTAATTTAGAAAGCAATATTTGAAAAAGTGTCATTTGTAGCGTCTTGCAAATAGGCAGGACAAGACGAGGCACTTTCATTTACCCGCCCTAACCGTTTTTCAACACGGTCTTCCTTTTTTTTTCAAGACACGGAATTCTTTCTATATTTAATTCGTTGTTCTTTATTCCTCTCATTGTGCATGAGCTCTAAACTTATATTTGAAGGATGAATGCTGCGCTACTTAGACGTTATGATTTCATGAAAAAAGGAAGGGAGATTTGAGCACTAGTAAAAGAAGAAGAAGAACAAATGACAAGTAAGAAAAAGCTTTGAGAATTCAACGCGGTTATCAATAATGCATAGTTTAACGTAGGTTATATCGATCGTTAATAATTAATAGGATACACAGCCATAAATCAAACTTTTCAGTTCCGCTATTCTGGAAGTATCTGTGAAGTCAATAGCTATAGCAAGATTAAAATTTCAGAGGAAATTTAAATATTTATAGCTTAAATATCATAAAATTATAACCTATGCCGATATTAAATAAAGATATAATTTTTTATTCAATATTTGACAATTTTATTCTGTATTTTCTTTACTTTACCTCTAAAAAACATTATGTCATTTAAAGATATATTACCGCAATATATGTAAATTGTTACTGTGTATATGTAATATGTTACTGTGTATATACGTGTTGCATATCGACTCATAAATATATTATTTCACGAGGTATACTGTATTGTGAGGGATTCGTGAAATGATTAATAAAGTTACCAGTTGCGAAGGGTGGAATTATGGGCACACATGCATGTGGATATCAACATCTAAGAAATTCGATCCGCTACAGCAAGGCTATAGACTGTCGACATTTGCCAGTCAGTCTAAAGATTTTGGTGCTTGCTATACTTATCAGTTGTGATTGCTTAAAGTATTTTTTTAAATAATAATTTAATTTATTTCTTTGACGGCAAATATCACGATGTTTACTTATAATTATTGGATTAATTAGAAAGCTTATATGGTTAGAAATTGTAGTATTTTTATTAAATCTTTATAATAAATATAGAAGCCTTCTTTAATTGACAAATGTGCAAATTACTTTAAATATGTTTAATTAATAATATTGTACTTTACACAATGTTTGCAGGAAACAATTACATGTATATTGTGTGTTTCGCAGGTAATATAAAAGAAGATAATCTTTTCAAAA